CAGGATGTGGCCGGTACTCCAGCTTTTCCAGGTCCCCCAAAGATGAATGACGCTGGCTAGTTCAGCAAGCAGTGGTTCTTGTTTCCCCTTTCTGAGTCCTCACCTTTTTAATATAAATAAAATTAAAAGGGAGGGATGTTAGTGTTTAGGCATCTGTACTGGCCTGCCTACTGTACAGGCTACTTCCTCAGCTGTAGCCACTAAGAGCACCTCCTGTGCACATTCACTACGTTCCCTTTTAAAGGGCATGCCCACTCCCCCACCCCTCTCTCGTCTCTTCTGGGGCTCCTGTCCCCAGAGGCTGGTCTCCCCTTCCCCCTGTCTCCTTTTCTGTTCCCTTTCCTCCAACATAAACCTCTCCACATGGGTCCTGTCACAAGGCATCTTTCTTTCCTTATTCAGGTGGCTCAACTGCTGGGTGACCTTTTCTAAACATTCCTGAGTAGTCTATATTTCTCCGTGCTCTTTGTGAGGTTTTCTGAGAGTAGCTCAGTCAACAGGGCTTCCTTTTCCACCAGGGCAGCCTCATAGCCCTCAGACCCCTGGAATTTTGTGGCCTGTGTTTTCAAGGGGGCCTCTCAGGGTTTGGTGAAGGCAGCAGTGGGCTCTTTGATTTCAGAGTTAAGTTCTTCAACCTCTTTTTCCTTTGATTTTAATGCCATGGTTAGGCCCTGAATGCTTTCTCCATCGTTCAGCTACTTTTTCTTCTCTATAGCAATTTCTCTTTCCCTCTCAGGTCCTCCAGAAGTGCCTGGATCTTCTCTTCCAAGTGATGTCTCTCCTTCTGCTGTTCTCTTTTGTGCAGCCTCAGCGTGTCTCTCCTTTTCTTCCCTCAGAGTGGCAGAAAGTCCTCAGAGTTCTATCCAGAGGACACACTCTTGTCAGGAGATGCCATCTGAGATGTCTCCTCATAAGGCACTGAATGAAAGCTTCTTTGTTCTTCAAAGACAGCTTCAACTCCTCAATCAGTCTGAAGCGAGAGGGAACCGAAAAATGGAGACCATAACCACAGACTCCCTCAGCACTGACTTGGTCCTCTCTTGGAGAGAATCCCAGGTTTGCTACACTGATTTCCCAACCCCACATTGAAAGCAAAGTGGCAGATCTGTCCTTCTCATCCAGAGTGAGAGCCATCTTCAGTTCCCCCTCCTGCATCTCCTTCATCGCTGAGAGCTTGCTTTCCAAGCAGAGGCGAAGAGCTTTCTCCGTTTCTGTCCCTGCAAAGGCCCTCTCCAGTTCTGCTGGGGTGGCTTTCACAACTTCTAGGAGAGACATCCTTTTTGTGAGGAGGTTTTCTGCCTGCTGCACCTTCTTCCTTGCATCTTCTCTCCCAAAGGCTTAGATGAATTATTTTGAAGACTGGGCATTTGGGATGTACTTCAGATTATGTGGCATCTTGAGGGTGGGGCCCACAAGGAGTATTAGTGGCTCCTACCACACGATAATTCTGCTACCACCTGGACTTTGGATTTCCAAGCCTTCAGAATGACGAGAAACCAATATATGCTGTTCCCAAGCGGCTCAGGCTGAGTCTTAGAGTAGCCAGACAGGACTAAGAGGTTTGGGTTAGTGATATGCACTTGTTTTTCCAAGTTCTCACCAATGGATCTAGTAAGGAAGAGTTTAGGCCACCTCTTGGCTCCAGTGGTCACAGTCCATCATGGCTGACAAGACCAGGTAGAAAGATCAGCTCCGTCCATAGTGGCGGGAGCAGGATCCTGCTGCTGTTCACATCAGTGGGGACCAGGAAGCAAGGAGATGTGTAACAGGAATGAACCAGGGATGAGATCCCCCACAACAATCCCCCTCCTGGTGATGCACACATTCTCTGGCTACACTCCACCTATTAAAGACCACCAGCTAAAGGTCAAACATTGAAGCAAGAGCAGTTTGGAACATTTCAGATCCAAACCGTAGTGCCCATCATCTTCTTATAGGCACGGCCTCCAAAAAGCAGTACTCCTGACCTGACTGTTAGGAATATTTCTTAAAGACGAGCCTCTCTGCCGATGCAAATAATTCCAATCAGATCAAATTAGACCGAATAAAAGATGCCCATGTTTAATGCGGTGCTCGCGGGAGGCCGGGGAAAGCCTGGTGAGGGGAAGAGAGAGAAGAGGAGACCACCCGAAACCCAGAGACCATGCGTTCCTTTTCTTGGGGGGGGGCAGCCTAAATAGCCTGTGGGAGTGGTCCTGACCCTCCCTGGGAAGGTGTCACTGCTTCTTGGCCCGCTTCCCCCCTCCCCCCCCCCAGGTGAGGTCCAGACTAAGGCAAACCCCAGGGGAGGGGGCTTCAAAGGGCGCTTCCTGTTCCATTCCAAAAATGAGTGCCAGGGGGAGTTGGGGTGATGCTTTTAATCAAACATTCCAGACTCCTTGGATATAAAGGTGTCAGGGGGCTGGGATCTCACTTCCGACCAAACACTAATGTGTCCTGGCATCTAGGGATGGAGGTCTGAAGTGGGTAGCAGGGAAAAGGCTGGTTTGCCCCATTACTGGAGACATAAGATTCCACACACAATGGATTTTGAACTGCACCATTCCTTTAATTACAATTTCATTATTAAATTATAAAATGAATTTTTAAATTTAATTTTATTTTATTTTTTTTGGTTTTTCGAGACAGGGTTTCTCTGTGGCTTTGGAGCCTGTCCTGGAACTAGCTTTTGTAGACCAGTCTGGACTCAAACTCACAGAGATCCGCCTGCCTCTGCCTCCCAAGTGATGTGATTAAAGGAGTGTGCCACCACTGCCCGGCTTAAATGAATTATTTATTAATTGTTAACTGTATTAATGCTAGCGTTCTGCCACTGTGACAAAATACTTGAAAAAAATCACTTCAACAGTAGAAAACTTTAATTTGGACCAAGTTTTAGAGCTTGCACTTGGTTGGTCCCCTTGTTTTGGAACATGTGTGGTGGAGCCAAGTTGCTCATTTCCTGGCTAGTATGTGGGAAAGAGGGTGAGGAAGAGACTGAGTCCCTCCATTCCCTCTACAGCCTTGTCTCAATAACTAGGGGTCTTTTCACTAAGCCCAGACTCCTACAGAGCCCTCAGTCTCCCTATGGCAACACTGTGGGGAACAAGCCTTTTACCCCTGGGAGATTCTACAGACCTCAACCAGCACCTTGCCTGAGTTGACCTTCTAAGTGTATCCAGAAAAACAACCATTAAGATAGCATATTATTATAAAAGCACTTCATTTGGGGGGGAATCCGAAAATACTTAGTATGATGCAAATTAGAATTTACCTTCTATCTTAGTTATTTTTCCTACTACTATTGTGAGAATCAAAGTTATATTTTAAGTTTTAATTACTATGCCTAAGAGATCCACAAAACAATAATGCCTCTGATCTGCAAGCCCCTTACCCAAGAACAGATAGTTTCTGGAAAGCTGGAGGCTGTTGTTTTTGGTAGATAACAAGCAAGCATTTTTTCATTCCCCTAAACAAGTTTCTTTGACCCAACACACTCAAGTGCTTGATCCTCTGTGGCCGAAAAACCAAAAAAAAAAAAAAAAAAAAAAAAAAAGAATGGAGGTGTGTTAGGATATATGCTTGCCCCTGATTGAACTTGAGAGGAAATGTAATGAATTATGGGTTTGCCTTCTTAAGTTGCTACAAACTGAGATTCTGGGTCATTTCCCAGGAACCTGGGTGTGGACCTGGGGAGAGCCCATCTACCTGGCCAGTACTTAATTATAGCTTGCTTCAAATTTGGCTTCAAACTCACTCTCACGATTGTTTTTCTTTTCAATTTTGAGGACGTCATTCGGTATCTCATCATCCTTCCTTTTCATTATGTTTAAATGCGATCCTTCAGCTGGCCAGCTAATCACTCATTTGAAAAACCATAATCAGTGAAATCATCCGGGAACATGGATGGAGCTGGAAAAGACATCAAGAGAGGTAACACACACACACACACACACACACACACACACACACACACACAGAGAGAGAGAGAGAGAGAGAGAGAGAGAGAGAGAGACAGAGGAGACTACATATTTTTTCTCATATGTGGATCCTAGCATCTAATGTTCATATGTAAGTGTGCATAAGCTTTTTTCCACAGGGGGAAAAGGAGAGTCTTTTGGGGCTGGCAATAAGGTACAAGTGACATAGGAGGCTGGGGGTGGGGGGAATTGGGTGTGGTCATGTGGTGAGGGGACTGGGGATGGGGGAGATGCATTGGAGAGTATTTACAAAGACTAATATTGTTTAGAAATTTTATTTATAATAAAACTTAATATTGTGTATATATATGCACACACACCACACTTATATACACTTATTTTGTTTTCTTTCTCTCTCTCTCTTTTTTTTTTTTTTTTTAATTTTTCGAGACAGGGTTTCTCTGTAGCTTTGGAGCTTGTCCTGGAACTAGCTTTAGTCGACAAGGCTGACCTTGAACTCACGGAGGTCTAGCGCCTCAGCCACGGCCTTCTGAGTGCTGGGATTAAAGGCGTGCCCCACCACCGCCCGGCTGGTTTTGTTTTTCAAGACTGGGTTCTGTGTAGCCCTGGCTGGCCAGGGCCGGCCTCGAACTCAAAAGGTCTGCCTGCTGATGCGTGTGCTAAGATTAAAGATGTCTGCCACCACGTTCAACTTAATATATATTTTTGAAAAACATAATCACAAAGTAATTTTAAATGCTAGCAGTAAAAGTAAGAGACTCTATATTATGGTAATATCACTCTTGCGGTTAGCTATTTAAATCCAATACATGTGAATTGTGTTACTCCTGGAGAGAAATTACGAGAGAGAAGAAAAAATTAAATTAGACTGTCGAGAAACAGTAGGACGACACTGGAAGGAAAGCAGAGCGCGGAGTCAGTTGGCGCCCGCCCACCTGCTTTTCCTCCAGCCGCGGTTTCCGCTCTCTTTCGCGCTCTGGGCTTCCAGGCAGCCCCGCCTCGTCGTAGCTCGGCTACGATTGGTTCCTTTGAACGTCTACGGCTAACCTGATTGGTGGATCCCGGGCGCTTTATCGCGGTGAGTTTGAAACTGCTGGCACTCGGCCTCTGAGCTCCGGGAGTCGCTGCGTCCGCGCAGTCCGGAACTGCGGGGTGGCCGCCGCGGGAACAAGAGAGGTATGGCGTGAGGCAGGCCGGGTGCGGGCAGGGGCCTGCGGGGCCTCCACGTGAACCCGGGGTCCCCCCAGTGGACGGGCCGGGCGTCCGTGTGAGCCCAGGGTCCTCTTGTGGACGGGTAAGGCCTCCACGTGAGGGCATGGTCTCCTGTGGACGGGTAGGGCCTCCCCTGAGCCTGGGGTTCCCTGTGGAGGGGCAGCGCTTCCCTTGAGCCTGATGTCCTCTGTGGAAGGCAGGGCCTCGCCCCAGCTCCGGGGTCCGGCAGCCCCGCAGGGCCTCACCCGGGCCCCGGGCGTGGGCGGGGTGCCAAGCTGTGTCCTAGGTCCTGTTGGCTGCCTGTGCGCTCACAGAGCTGGACCACGCCAGCTGCCCTTGGAGACCCTCGGTGGGTACTGCGGGGGAAACTGATCAGTGGTCGTTTAGAAGTATTGCTGTCAAGGTGCAGAGCCAAGAAAGAACATAGGATCGTTCTTTTTAGTGGACTGTGCTTGTGTAGGCAACCACAGTCGGTACCCGGTCTAAGAAATGCTGAGAGGTAGAACCCTGATTCTTTAACACCCATCGTCTTAAAGACAAATAGTTAGTACTCAGGGTTCTGGTGTGTCCCATCCCCCTCCCCCCAACACTTGGGAGGTCTGGGCTGGAGAGACGCGCTGGGCAGCTACTAGCGCCAGCCCCAGGGGACTGGAAAATGTTGGAGGGAAATGAGCCCAGCTTTGAAGACGCGTTAACTACTAGCTCTACGTCCAAAGGGGGCTGAAAAGTTTTATTGTACTATGGTTAAATTATGTATGCATATTAAAGAATAAGGATTTTTCTCGTCCGTTGTGATTTCATAAAAATACGCATAGTTGAGATTTTTCTGAGTCAGTGACTCCGTGTGGAGTCGTGAGAGCTAGGATTCCGGGCTGTGTCACCACACTTCCTGGGGGCTCATTTTACTTTGGGAAGGAATCTTGTCAGGAACAGAACTCAGCTAGTAGTGATCATCGTAAAGATCAGATCCGTGGCAAAGGGCTTGCTCTGCAAAGATGCTTAGCTTTTTTCCCCACCCTTAGCGAGGCAAGGGCTTCTTTTTTTCCCCCTCTTTTGCGCATGACACTTTGCAAGTGTGATTGGAATTTTGTAAAGATGGCACTGTATTCGAGTTATCGCTGTGATAAAGCACCATGCCCAAAGAAAGCAACCTGGGGAGAGGAGGGTTGATTTGACTGTCCGCATCATGGTTCCTGGAGGCAGGGGCTGATGTAGAGACCACGGAGGGGTGTTGCTGACTAGCTTTTTTTTTTTTTTCCTTGTTGCTTGCTCAGCCTGCTTTGTTATAGAACCCAGGACCGTGGGATACCCAGGGATGGCACCAACCACAATGGTCTGGGCCCCATCAATCACTACGAAAATGCTCTACAATCTTGCCTGCAGCCCCCATCTTATGGAAGCATTTTTTTAAAATTAAGGTTCCCTCCTCCCAGGTGACTAGCTGGTGTCACGTTGATATAAAACTAGCCAGCACTGTACTTGATACTTGTACGGTGCTTTTGGCATTTCCCTTTGAGTGTCTTGAGTGGGATTGTTTGTGGCTGCTTCTTGAAGGGATTCAATTCACTTGAGTGACTGAGCATTCCTGCTGCTTAAGTGAATCGGATGCTTTTATAATAAATGTTGTTTCTAGTGGTTATACCTTAAGGTGGCACTTGGATTCCTTTCGAGACAGTGTTGCAGTAAATTAGGCCAGACTGTTGCAGTGAACCAGGCCACAGGGTGGCCTTGAACTTGCTCTTCTGCTTCCTTTCCTAGTGCATGACTTCCTTCTCATAGATTCTTATGGTTTCCAGAGAATTAAAATAGTACAAATTTAGCACAGTAGCAGTGGGTAGAGTTAGTATGTACTGGCATTAAAATCATTATACTTTTTAACTTTCAGTCCTAGGAATCAAACTGTAGGAAGTTTTTATTTTGAGACACAGTGTCACTAAGTTGTTCTAGCCAGCATGAACTTTTTTAATCCCTCTGAGTCAGCTCCCTCAGTGGTTGGGATGACAGGCCTTTCTCACCAGAAGTGCTTGGTCTGTGACATGTGGAGAAGCTAAGTACTATGCTGTATAGAATATGCAATTGCAATGTCTTGGGTGCCGAGAAGACTCAGATAGCTTCTGCAAGAGTTGCTAAACCCTGGTAATACTATTTTGATAGAATAACTGATACTTGGGCTATGCAGAAGGCACTGCACTTTGTATGTAATGTCTTACTGATGAATTGGTATCATGTAATCACACCAGTGTTTCCCCTCATTTTAGGGTCTGTTGTAACCTGTTGAGTAACTATGGAAGACTATATCAAGATAGAGAAGATTGGAGAAGGTGAGTGCTCCCTTGGAACACAGACTCATCTATCATGTGCAGTCATTGATGTGTTTGTACTTAGGTGCACTAGTAAACTGTTGTAGCTGGTGTTAGTGGTCACCTTGACAGAATCTGGGGTCACTCTGAGTTCTCCTGTAGGGGATTCTTTTGCTGTATTAATTGAAGTGGGCAGGCCCTTCTCCCATTGTGAGCACCATTTCCTTGCTGAGATCTGGACTGTAAGTGGAGAGGGGGAGCCAAGCCATAGTAAGCATCACTCTCATCTGGACTGGGACCCAGATTCCCAGTCCAAATAAACCCTTAGGTTGCTTTTGTCTGGATGTTTATCATAGCCACAGTAAGACATAGTTTACTTATAATCTAAAGCTTTCTCATTTAATAGAGTTTAAATTATTCAGATTCTTTGCTAAGCACCATAGGGCCTCCTCACAACTACACCACTGAGTTGATCTCACTTTGGTACCGTGCACCCTGGATGCCTGTGTTTTGGAAATACTACTGCTAGTTTGTATGTGTGTTTGAGGAATAGATTAGGGAGGCAGGATATACTGATTTTGTAGTACATTTTTAGTCTTATTAATTCTAAATATTAAATCCTAAGTTTTATGTAAATTGGGTGTAGTAATTGACAAACTAAGCTGAATGTTTTTCTGTGGGGTTACTATGGGCAGGAATGACTTAAGGTAGTGGCTTTCATGTGTTCAATTCCTTTCTGTGGTATTTTGAACAATGCTTAGGTCCGTGTGGCATAAATGAGGAATGAAAATAACCCTTTCCTATTTTGTTTTTCTCCCCCTGCAACAGAATTTCCATATTTATACCTGGGAGTCAAGACGTCATTCTTAGCTCTCCCGGTGCAAACGGTGGAACTTGTTTCTCTGTGGGTTCTGTTGAGGACCGTTTTCATTTTCATCTCTGTTCAGAGACCCCACTTACACAGGGTACTAAAACCAAGGCAGGGAATTTAGTAAGCCAGGATTGGCCCAGGTAGTATTCAGATGGGAGTCTGGGCTTTTCTGTTTTAATGTGACCATCAGCTCTACAACTGTCTCCTTCCATCGTAACTGCTACTCCTTAGCAGCCTCAATTGCTGCCACTCGCCTCTCCTTTTGGATTTCTTTGATCCCCTCAGCTGAGACTTTCTAAAGCCATCCCGTGCTGGCTTCACTTTTCAACTTGTTCTAGTTCAGTGGTTCTCAGCCTTCCTCATGTTGGGACCCTTTATTTAATACAGTTCGTCATGCTGTGCTGAGCCTCCCAGCACAAAAGTGGATTCATTGCTACTTCATCACTGTTTTGCTACTGTTGTGCATTGTAATGCAAATACCTGTTTTCTGGTATTGGGTATTTGCATTAGGTCTTAGGTGACACCAGATGGTTGGCCATTCAACCCCCAAAGGGGTTGTAGCCCACATGTTGAGAACTGCAATTCTCATTGAAGGGATTTGGCCATATCCTTTGCATCTTCCTCAGTATTCCTTTTAGTCCTTTAATCTTTGCGAAGACCAGGGCCGACATCTCTCACAGGAGCTCAGGTACTGGAGCGCCTTCACCTGCTTTCCTGAGCTGTTGTCTGGCCTTGAGGCTTGTCTGCTGTACTGTGCTGGGCTATATTGGTTCTGTGTAGTCTGTCCTGAAAAACTGATTTGTTGAAATAGTTTGAAAACTAGATGATATTGCCCACATAGAATTTTCTTGTGTTAATACCAACTACCTGGTCAAACTAGTAGATAAGTTATAAGATGGGTCTTTACTGTGTTAGCATTTTCCTAAGTCACCTGTGTATTGTTGGCCACCATGCCCAGCAAGACAGTCTTCAGATCACACAGCTGGATAACACTGGTTGGTGCAGACTTCCTTGGCATTTAGTAAGCACTTCAGAAACATTTGTCTGATGAGGATCTGTGGCTTTCCCACTCAGTGCTATTGGGCCTTTACTCCGGGATAACTGGGATTCTAGGCGTATGTGGGTGAGTGTGGGTTTGAACAGGTACGCAGAGGGCATAGAGTGTTACCCACTCTGGAATTGGAGCTGCAGGTGGTTGTGAATTGTCTGGTGTAGGGCCTGGTCCTCTGCAAGGGCAGTATGGATTCTAAACCTGAGGCATCTAGCTCTCCAGCCTTGTTTGATCCGTCCCCCAATATTTAATGATTTAAAACGCTAAATCTAAAACATGAATTTCCTAGAATCCACTATTTATTTAACGAATAGTGTTCGGTGATTCACAAGTAAAGTGGTTGTGCTTTGTTTAGCCCTATTGCAGACGTTCATTGAGAAGACCCAGGAGTTAAGATACTCAAAAAAACTACTTCTGTGTTGTCTAAGAATCATTGTTTACTGGGTGTTCTGCTAACCATGAGTTCTGCACATTATCCAAGGAATGAAGTAGTACACTGGGAGGAAACAGAAGATGCTGTAGGAATTAAGAATCATGTTTTATTGGAGTGATACATACCTTGCTGAGACTGCTCAGACAGCGTCTTCTTGCTAATGGTTTAGCTACCGTGTGCTTCATACAAGTCAGATATCCACCCTTAAGGAACGTAGTGCATAGATTGACTATGGCTTTGCAGACAGAATGTAGTCCTTTTTATTTGGAATATTTTGGTTATTCAAAGTCACCTAGCATTTGGTCAAAATAGTAAGAATTTTATTTGAAATAATATCATTAAAATTCCTGAATTGTTTAGGAAAACAAACTGTCCCGGAATTTTAAAAAAAAATCTTACAACAGCTGGGCTGTGGTGGCACACACCTTTAGTCCCAGCACTACAGACAGAAGCAGAGGCAGGCATATCTCTGAGTTCGAGGCCAGCATGAAAAACGAATCAAATGCTAGAACAAAGATTATATGGATGTCAACTTGCCACTGAGCAAACTGCGTAATATTCTAAGCAGTTGATCATTGGGATGGATTCTTAGAACCAATAAAAGCTGTGGCTTAAGATGTTTGAAGGAAACTGCCCTAATCCTTTGGGTTTTTTAGACAGGGTCTAACCTTTTCTCAGCTTTCCAAGTGATAGGATTACAGGCATGTACACTGTGCCTTTGTCTTTTGGGACAGGTTTCACCAAGTTATCCATGCTTACCTCCAACTTGGAAATTTCCTGCCTTAGCCTTTCAAGTAGCTGTAGTTACAGCTATGTGTCACCAGGCCTGGTGTTCTAGGCATGGCTGAAGTCATACTGATGCCATGAAAAGCTGTTCAACGCTGTATATTATATAGCTAGGGGGTTAGTACTTCTTTAAACTGGACCCGAGGTTAAAGGTACCTATGACATCTGGAGAAGTGCATGCAGCACAGGTGTGCGCTAGGTCCGTCTTGCTGTGCCTGCCATACCCCATTGTGCTGTTGCCATTCATGTGACACTCAGGTTAGCGTTGCCAACATTTTCAACAGAAGGGAGACTTCCTACTATAGCAGTAGCAGCTTTGTTGGGCTAAATAAAAATGCGTGGTGTTTCTGCCTCTGCTCCTCTCATCTGCAGGATGAGGACCGTTGACTGCATTTTGGGATGTGTAAAAGTATCATGGAAGGCATGAGTCATTACAATTTTCTGAAAGTGTCACAGTGCCTCCTGTTGATACTGTTCTCTGAGCTTCAATTTGCACAATGTTTTAATTGCATGCAGGATATTTGACAGGTGAATTTCAACTTGTATGCTGGCTCATAGAGGAAGCTTAATTGTGCGAGACTTGGGTGATTCCATGAATTTTATTCCTAAACCCTGTGTATGTTAGGTTGTAGTTACCTTCAGTTTCTTTTTGGAAGTGTTTAAGTATGTGTGAGGTGACCACCGCAGGCATTTCTATCATGTGATACCTTAAGGGTTCACTTAAAAATCTCTTCGCTTCATTTCAGGTACTTATGGTGTGGTGTATAAAGGTAGACACAGGACTACTGGCCAGATAGTGGCCATGAAGAAAATCAGACTTGAAAGTGAGGAAGAAGGAGTGCCTAGTACTGCCATCCGGGAAATTTCTCTATTAAAAGAACTCCGCCATCCAAATATAGTCAGGTGCGCTAAGTCTGAATTGAAACAGCTCTCCCCTTCCTACTTCACATAAATTTTAATGTGGAAATTTTTACATTTGCTTAGTTTCTGGGTGGAGTGGGATAGTCTGTTTATTTTTGTTGACTGTGATGCTAGGAGATAAAGAGAACAAAAGAATTCAAGACATGGTGCCGAGAATTAGTGTTGGCTGGAGGAGCAGGCACGGTGGCTGTGGGAGAAAGAAGCCTTTCAAGAGGAACTTTGTCAGCCCCGATTTTTCAGAGCCCAGGTCCCCAAGTAGCTAGGTCAGAGTGGGGGAAATGTTTTCCTTTTTTATTGGCTCATTTGGGCTGGATCTTTGAGGAAGTTGTCTATCTAGTGGCTCATCAGAATTTCTGGTGGTACTTGGTACCGAACCCAGGTCTTTGGCCATGCCAAGGAAGTGCTCTACCGCTGAGCTGTATTCCAGGCTGTCTTAATTTTGGGGTTTTGAATTTTTTTGTTTTGTTTTTCGAGACAGGGTTTTTCTGTCTCGCTTTGTTGCCTGTCCTGGAACTAGCTCTTGTAGACCAGGCTGGCCTCGAACTCATAGAGATCCGCCTGCCTCTGCCTCCCAAGTGCTGGGATTACAGGTGCACTTTACCACCGCCTGGTGGGGTTTTGAACTTTTTTTTTTTTTAAGTGAGTGGTGTTTATTGAAAGTCATACAGCACAAATATATTGGAAGTGGCACTTTCTTTTTTTTAATCTTTTTTTATATCTTTTTTTATTATTTAATTTATTTATGTATTAAAGATTTCTGCCTCCTCCCCGCCACCGCCTACCATTTCCCTCCCCCTCCCCCGATCAAGTCCCCCTCCCTCATCAGCTCAAAGAGCAATCAGGATTCCCTGACCTGTGGGAAGTCCAAGGACCACCCACCTCCATCCAGGACTAGTAAGGTGAGCATCCAAACTGCCTAGGCGCCCCCAAAGCCAGTACGTGCAGTATCCTGAGTGAGTTAAGCCAGACCCAAAAAGGGTTTTGAACTTTAGAGACAAGACTTTAGCTCACCCAGAGTGGCCTGGAATTTACTGCTGTTCTCTAACAGCCTCCCAAGTGCTGGGACTATGGGCTTAAGCCACCACACCCAGCCCTCTAAGTTTATTTTGAGACAGGATCTCACTAAATTACCCAGGTTGGCCTTGACTCTGTAGCCCACACAGTCTTTGAATTTGGAGGTCTTCTGCCTTAACGTCCTGGCTTCTGCCTCTGTGTCATTTGGGGTGATAGGCTTCTTTCCCTGGCCTGGGTTCTAACTTGGTGCTGGGACTGGGAATAGGAAGCAGCTGTTAAAGCCAGCTTCAACTAATGCCCATAATTTACTTCAATGAAAGACAAGCTACAGGAAGACATAACTTACTGTCCTGAAAGGCCTTCCTCTAGTCTTCAGTGTGAAGGCGGTTGATGAGAAGCTTCTGGTTGTCGTGAGGCTCTCAAGCAACTGTGCTTGTGAAAGCGCGAGGCAGAGGTGTTTTCTGGGCTCTCATGTTCTGTTTTCTCTTAGTCTTCAGGATGTGCTCATGCAGGACTCCAGGCTGTATCTCATTTTTGAATTCCTGTCCATGGATCTCAAGAAGTACTTGGATTCTATCCCTCCTGGTCAGTTCATGGATTCTTCACTCGTTAAGGTAAAGATTTACATACTTTTATTAATACGCTCTGAGTGTAGGGCTCATCCTTGTGTTTGTGGGTGATGTTGGAAAACCTGTAAGAAAACAGAAATAGAGAAGGTTTAATTTTTTTCACACAGATTATCATTTGCCCATCTTAACTTCAATACCAGACAGTTTTAGGAAATAAAAAGTAGTGTCTGAAGCCCGGTGGTGGTGGCGCACGCCTTTAATCCCAGCACTCGGGAGGCAGAGGCAGGCGGATCTCTGTGAGTTCGAGACCAGCCTGGTCTACAAGAGCTAGTTCCAGGACAGGCTCCAAAACCACAGAGAAACCCTGTCTCGAAAAACCAAAAAAAAAAAAAAAAGTAGTGTCTGAGGACATAAGTGCCACACTGTGGCTGATGCTAGGTGGATTTACTCTTTGAAAAATACATTTCAATTAATGAAAACATTGTATTTCAGTTAAATTATAAATGTATATATCGAGGGCTGGAGAGATGGCTCAGCGGTTAAGAGCACTGGATATTCTTCCAGAGGTCCTGAGTTTAATTCCCAGCAACCTCATGGTGGCTCACAAGCATCTGTAATGAGATCTGGTGCCCTCTTCTTTCCTGCAGATGTACATGCAGGCAGAACACTATGTACATAATAAATTAATAAATAAGTAAATAAATAAATATTTAAAAAAATAAATGTATATATCGTTTATTGTATGGGGTGCTGGGTGTTGAACCCAGGGCATTGTGTATAACTAAGCAAGCATTTTGCTTAGCAAATGTATGTATATTTTAAATGTCTAAGGTAATGGCAGCTTAAACCAGCTATATTTTCCTGCTAAGCTGCCTGTCTGTCTTCTTGCAGACACTGTCATGTTGGCTTTGTATGTATATAAACTATGGGATCATTTCTGTATATGTATTGCACACACATTGGTTGGCCTTTTTATTTCTGTTTCATAAATGCTTTAATAATTAACCATTTCCATATTTTTTCATTAATTTACTTAGTAATTTAGTTATTGTTATTCCTTAGACCATGCTCCAATGATTGTCCTTATGTGTGATGGGGGCTGCCCATGAATTCCCATCCAACCTGTCTGCCAAGTGTGGAGATTCTAGGCTTGTGCATTGAGCCCACCCCTTTATTTTACTGTAAAGATGAATTCTTGGAACTGGGATAAAATGTGTTTATATTTAAGAGCTTGGAAGATAGAACAATATGACCTCTAAAAAAAAATCAGTTGTTATTTTATTACATCATTACCAAAATTTGACTGTATTTTTTAAATAATCTCAGTATTTTATGTAAAGGGGCTTATTAGAGTTATCTTACTTGATATTTAACACGATTTACGCATAGCCTGTACATTCCTAGATCTTTCTATATTAAGATTGTTCAGTGATTTCAAAGTTCTTTTTATTAACACACAGATAATTCCTTTTATTACCTTTTTTCCCACTTTAGTGGCACCCACCATTGCCAGTGTTTTATATTATATATGTCTTAGGGTTGCTGTTGCTGTGATGAAACACCATGACCCAAGCAATTTGGGGAGGCTTGTAACAGTTCATCACTGAAGGACTTTAAAATTCTTATCCTGATTTATAGGAATTTTAAATAGGGTAGAAGCCTGGAGCCAGGAGCTGATGCAGAGACCATGGAGGGGTGCTGCTTACTTACTGGCTTGTTCCTCATGGCTTTCTGAGCGAACCAAGAACCATATATGTTAGCTCAGAGGTGGCACCACCTACTGTGGTCTGGGCTTTCCAGCATCAAACACTAATCAGGAGAATGCCCTAGATTGTAAGGCTTGGGGCACCTCTGGGGAAAATGCTCATGTTGTAAGCATGAGGACTTGAGTTCTGATTCCCAGCATCCCTATGAGTTGTGTAATAGTGTGTACTTCTTTAAACCCAGAGCCTGAAGGGCAGAGGAGAAGGGTGTGTGTCCCAGGGATTTAATGGCCAACCAGTTTGGCCAAAATAACCAACTTCAGGTTGAATGAGAGATGGAACTAAGGTGGAAGTATAGAGGAAGACACTGACTTCCATCTCTGCACTGGTACATGGTGTGTGCATGGGTGTGTGCACGCACATACATATCGAGTGTCTCCACACACACGAGAATTAGCTCATGACTGAACTTCAGTGTTACCTTTTACACCTTTTCTCATTTCAAACTTTGAAGTCAGGTGTCCAAAGAGGAAGTGTATGTGTGGAGCGAGAAATGAAAGTGAGAGACTTTATTCAAGAGAGAAGCACTTGGTGTGAATGTTGAGGAAACGTCTTCCCAGGAAGCTATAATGTAGAACCTAAAGATAGGGGACAAAATTTTAAATGCTCACATGGGTAAATGTAAACACATATTTCCATACACATATACTGTATGTAAACGGGTTTTCTGCCAAGTTCATATAAGTCTAGTCTAAAGGGGCCTGAAAGGTCGTTTGATAGTGTAACTATTTCTTTGCATCATAATTTCTCCAGAAACAGTGATCATTTCGGAGTCTTGTGGCATGATTAATTTTTTTTCTTTATATTTATTTATTATGTATACAATATTCTGTTTGCGTGTATGTCTCCAGGCCAGAAGAGGGCACCAGACCTCATTATAGATGGTTGTGAGCTACCATGTGGTTGCTGGGAATTGAACTCAGGACCTTTGGAAGAGCAGGCGATGCTCCCAACCACTGAGCCATCTCTCCAGCCCCGCATGATTAATTTTTTGACTTGCTTTTCTAGAGTTACCTGTACCAAATCCTCCAGGGGATTGTGTTTTGTCACTCCCGAAGAGTTCTCCACAGAGACTTGAAACCTCAAAATCTTTTGATTGATGACAAAGGCACAATCAAACTGGCAGATTTTGGCCTTGCCAGAGCTTTTGGGATACCGATTAGAGTGTACACACACGAGGTAAGCTGGATTATGGTCTTTACACCGAGAAAGAAATTCTCGGGTGGAAAGAGATTCTGCTGTGGTAGTATCGGTTTATTGCTTCTTGTCTCGGAAGTTGCTTTTACTAAATGTGAAATAGATATGTTTCCACTCTGTGAAAATGGAACTGGAGCTATTGGCATCTCTTACGGGGGAGGGGAGGATTCCTGAAGAGGCCTCGCAGATAGGGCTTTTGAGGTTTTTACTTCTGTATCTTTCCCAGAGCTGTGATTCCCCCTGACTGGACCCTGCTGTGGCCATTTAGATTAACTAAAAGGCAGGTTTTGTTGTCTGAGGTCTATATTATTGTCATACATTTAGGAACCAGTAACTAGAGAGGGAGTGTAGAGATTGCCCATGTTAGTCAAGTGCTCTATTACTGAGCTGTACCCATGGCCCTATCAAATTTTGTCAGTGTTTTGTTGACTGTTGGTTGTTTTTATTTTCCTCCGCCGAGGGCCTTGTTCCTAGGACCTCACATACCAGGCAAGTGTTCTATCCCCGAACTGTGTTCTTTAAGTCACTGGACTAGATAGGTTTGGACTTGCTTATCCTACCTTTCTGGGAGCTGGGATTGTAGTCTACATCACCAGACTGGGCTCCTGTTTCTCTGAAAAGGCATTAACTTGTATAGCGCAAGAACATTGACGGCTGGGGAGTTGTGAATCTGGAGTCCATGGTGTCAGGTGACCAGACCCTTGTCCCTTTCCTGCCTTGTTTCTTTTGGTTTTTGAGGTAGGATCTCCTGTATGTAGCCCTGGCTGTCCTCACATTCTCTGGGTAGTTAGTTGTTGATGCCTGCCCTGCCCCTTGGGTGCTGAGATCCTGGGTAGGCACTGCTGTGCCCGTGAATGTAGTGCTGGGGCTCAGAGGCTGCACATGCTCTCCACTGACTGCCTTCTCGGCCCTGTCTTGTCTGTTCTGTTTTATTTTTCAGTTACATGAGTTATCTTTGGCTTGTAACTGCTGTTGACCTTGTTCTTAGAGGTCACAGAATCACTATTTTGATGAATATACTACTATGGTTGATTAGTTCCAAATCACTAATCAATTTTTTTTGGCTTAATGTTTCTGTTAATTTTAGTTACCATGTTAACATTTAAACAAAACCCGCACTTTGTACAATACCATTCCCAAACCATTATTAGTATTTAGTGATTTTTCTGCTTTAATTTTTTTGAACCATATCAGACTGTGATTATTTGTTGTTGTTTGTTTGTTTGTTTTTTGAGACTATAGGGTCTCACTATGTAGCTCTGGCTAGCCTGGAGCTCACTTTGTAGACCAGGCTGGCCTCCAATTCACAGATATCTGCCTGCCTCTGCCTTCATGTGCTGAAGTGTTTGAATTAAAGGTGTGTGCCACTACTAAGCCCAGTCAGGATATAGCTACTTTGATCCTTCTACTTTAATGATTTGAAAAGCAAGATGTTCATTGTTTTTACCCACTAATGGGAAGAATTTAGTAATAAAATAATTAGTTTCAGCTAAGTATTTTGTATATTGTTAATTGACTTAAACTCCTGGTGAGACCTACACAGCTTTCTAAAGCCAGCCCACTGAAGCAGCTATATATAGCACGCTTACTCTGTGTGCTTGTCTTGTACCAGGTAGTGACGCTGTGGTACCGATCTCCAGAAGTGTTGCTGGGATCAGCTCGTTACTCCACCCCTGTTGACATCTGGAGTATAGGTACCATATTTGCAGAACTGGCAACGAAGAAGCCACTTTTCCATGGCGATTCAGAGATTGACCAGCTCTTCAGGATTTTCAGGTAATTGTGTTTTATACCTAAACTATTCAAAGTTTGTAAGGTTAAATAATAAAGGCACCGTATAGGAGATAGCATTTTGTTTTTCTTTTTTCTTTTTTTTTTTTAATTTATTTAACTTTATTTTATGTGGATTGGTGTGAAGGTATCAGATCTCCCAGAAACTGGAGTTACAGACAGTTGTTAGCTGTCATGTGGGTGCTGGGAATTGAACCCCCGGTCCTCTGGAAGAACCGCCAGTGTTCTTGACCGCTGAGCCATCTCTCCATCCCCGCATTTTGTTTTTCTTTCAGAGCTCTGGGCACTCCTAACAACGAAGTGTGGCCGGAAGTAGAGTCTCTGCAGGACTATAAGAACACGTTTCCCAAGTGGAAGCCAGGGAGCCTCGCATCCCACGTCAAGAACCTGGATGAAAACGGCTTGGATTTGCTCTCGGTAAGCCAGCTGTGGCTTTATGGCTTGAGCGTAGTGCATGTTCACAGTGACCCATGGGAGTGACTGAGCATGGAGCAGGAGAGTCCTGGAGTTAGATGCCCCTGGCAATGCTGCCTTCAAGGCGGGAAGCGCTAGTGGTCTTGAGTGTTAGACTTTCTTCTCATCCTGGTGGTGGACACGCTGCAGCAGGCCAGGGCTCGCACACCCTTTTAGCCCAGAGTAGTTGCTGAATTGTAATGACTGCTTTCTGGCTGTTTTGTGTGTTTACCATACTGTACTATGTTGACCACTGCTTGATAATTTGAGTTATTCAGGCTTTTACAGTGTAAATGCCGTTTCTCAGGGCTGGCCTAGTTTCCTTCTTAGAAAGCCTCAGAAAGACCAACTGTAATTTTGTTTTTCTTCAGTTACATTGCTTCACCCAGATAGCAGCTATTTCCTTTAAAAAATTATGCAAAGAACAATAACTGTTAAAGGCCTGCTTTAGGGTATTTTTAGGTAGAGCAATATTTAAATTTTAATTTATAGAAGGATTCAAATATACATTCCAGTTGGTCTTTCAACTCTATTATAATCTATAGATTGTGCCACCAAATGGAGTTCAGATTTGTTTAGACTCTGCAGCCCATACACATTTCATGTATTGGTATTGTTTGTCAACTTGGGAACATTCCGTATCTTGGGTCCAGTCTGCTGGTGATGTTTGCTTCTTTGTTTTATCGTGCTGGGGGTCATGGATGGGGAGGTAGGGGGGATGGCTATGAATTCTACTGGGTTACATCCTTAGCTCTCAAGCTTTGAATGTAAAGAATTTCACTTCACTTAACAAAAGTCAATCCTGTCCACCAGTTTCCTCAGTGGAGCTGACACCCTGACCTAGCTAATGGTTGCTGTGGCCTTGTCCTTGTTGAGCGTTGTGTGGCAGTGTCATTGTCCTCTGCACTCTTCTGGAAGACAGCATTGTGTGATGGCCAGCAGTGTCTGAGTTTAGCTGGCCCCTGAGAAGCACAATTTCCCACAGTTGGAAGCCACTGTGGATTATTGATTAGACTTGGCTTCAGGTTTCAGTTTATTTTTTCCCCTTTGTTTTTAGATTTGGGCAAGTTCTTTACTTTCTTTTTTCCTTTTGGTTTTTCAAGACAGGCTTTCTCTAGTTAGCTTTGGAGCCCGATCTGGAACTCGGTATGTAGACTACTAGGCTGGCCAGATCCACCTAGCTTTGCCTCCTGAGTGCTGCCTGATTTGGACAAATTTCTTAATGTACTGGAGAGACTTGGAATCTTAATCTGGAGAAGGCAGCATATTCTTTGAGGATTAACTGACATATCCTCAAAGCCTTATAAAATCCTAAATGAATGCAGGAGTTTAGGTGGTAACTAGTTAGCAAAGGTATCTGTCAGGCCTAAGGGTCTAGCCATGCCAGTATCATACCCAGCATGCACGAAGCCTTGGGTTTGGTCTCTAGCAGCATACAAACCTGGTGTCGTGGCACCTGCCTATAATCCCAGCATTTGGGAGGTAGAGGTAGGAGGATCATGAATTTCAAGGTCTTCCTCCACTACATTGTAATTCAAAGGCCTGTTGGTCAGGGTGGGTTGGGCTTTTAGTCTTATTGATTTAATTTTCTATAAAGATAATCTGTATGAACAAATTTAAGATCAAATACTTTCTCTAGAGTATATAAGTATACTTTAAATAATCCATCTATTGTAGCAGTGTTTATAAAAACACATTGTGGGTTTTTTCCTTTACTGGCTTGGCCAAGTGTTGTATCATGTAACACAATAGTTGATCGCCACCTTTTTAGGAACGTTGTGAATACCAGCTGGATATGAAATTCTCACGGTAGATATAATTAACTAGATAATCTGTAAATTTATGTTTTGGTTTTAAAACTGTCTGAGTGCTTATTTTATAATTTATAACATCCGTGAGTTGTGCATCTTGGAGGGTAGAGGGCAGGCTTGATAGTGAGCTGGGGAAGTTCCCTTAAGCAGGCACTCACTATAATTACTTGCATGGCTCAACTGCTGGAGGAAGCTAAGGCTTATGGGATTTTTTAAAGGGCTCATTTTCTAAGTTTATTTCTTCCTTTTCTTCCCAGAAAATGCTTGTCTATGATCCTGCCAAACGAATCTCTGGCAAAATGGCCCTGAAGCACCCGTACTTTGATGACTTGGACAATCAGATTAAGAAGATGTAGTTTTCTGTGGAAGTCCCTGCCTGCTGTGCAGGGCCACGTAGTGACATTTACTGTTGGCTCTCTTCCTGTCTTGTATATTTTTCTTCTGTTTGTTTGTTTGTTTGTTTGTTTGTAAACCATCACCTGGACTTTTCCTAATTTCATACATATAACTTAATTAACATGTAAATATTCCATATGAATTTAAATATAATAATTCTGTATATGTGTAGATCTCACTGTGGTGGCTGTTTGTTACTGTCCCAGAGGTAGGCCTTGCTGCGAGGAACTGTGAAGAGAATCATCCCAGACTCAGCAGCTGCTCCTGCACCTGGGCAGTGCACTCTAGGAGCTGCGCTCGCTTTCGCGTGCTTTGAAGGACCTTTGTCCTCTGGGTATTGGAGTCTTCTTGTCAGTTTCTTGCCACATGGAGACTATAATCTGCCTTCGTAGAGTTTTTCTACTTATGTTTAAGCATGGATGAGAAGGCCCAACATCTGAGAGATCATCAGGGCTTTTTAGTACCATAAAACCAACATGTACCTGCACCAAAGTGGGCCAGGATTTGGCTAGAGACCAAGGGCTGTTGAGAGTGGAAGGACAGTTTTTTATTTTGTTGTGAGAGCTTTGTCCAGTTGGACTCCTGTGCCGTGGTCGGAGGTGGGTTAGAGTGCTGCTGTAGCTTCCAAGTCTAACCGGAAAACTGCTGAAACTCTTGACAGCACTGTTTATTAGCAGCGTCTAAAAACGGCCTTGTCCAAATATTTAGCTAAAATTACTCACTCTGGAAGTTATGTTGCTTAGTATAACTCTTGAAGCAGCCTGATCTCAGAATGGGAGGGCTGAAGGGCTTTAGTTCAATACTTGGAGGGTCTTAAAGACTGAGCTGACTTGTTTTGTTCCTTCACCAGCTCAGGTTATAAGCGTTCCTGTCCTCTGTCCTTCGCTGGAGTCAGGGAAGTTCCTGTAGCGTTGTGCTCTGAGTGTAGCAGCTTCTGTCTCACATGGAGGGAACAAGTTTACTAGAATAGTTTTCAGTCCGTGCAGTTTCCAGAAACTTCCTCAAGTGTTTAGAGAACCCCAGTGCTGGAGGCCAGCCTCGGGGTTTCTAACTGTGATTGGCGAATGCCGTAGCCTCCAGAAACCCTCACCACGTGATGTTTTTCCTGCTGCTCTTGTAAACTGGGGGTGTGTGTCACCAGAGAGCCTTAGGGTGACAGTTGGTCAGAGGCCCTGGTTCCCACAGTGTTGCCTTAAAACCTGAACCTCCTTATATTTTCTTTGGGGTATGAGTTGGGGATTTGGGTCCCCCTCACCTCCACTTCCCAGTTTTTTTTTTTTTTTATTTTTAACTTAATTGGAATTGGGTTTCTGACATTTAATCTCAAAAGTGCTGATGAACACAGTGATTAGTGCGACATGCTTTAAATACTCCCAATTTGAAGCACACTTGAAGTTAGATTATATTATACTTTAATTTTTTTTTAAGATTGCTTATAGAGCATTGCTCCTATTTTAGCTTCAAGTACTGTTGTCCTTAATCTGCCTTCCAAAGGACCTGTAGAGTTTGAAGTGTTCCTGCGTAGTACCTACTGTCAAGTGTAGAAAAGTAATAAATAAAAAACAATCTGGAGGCGCAGTCCTCTTGAAATGATCTCAGCCGGGTTCTCTGTTAATACAAGTAACTGGGTAACGAACACGGTTGTAGTGGTTGATTACTATCAGTACTTCGTGTTTGGAAGGAGCCTCGGTGGTGACTGAGTGGCGCGCTACTCCCAGAGAGTTTCTAAAAATGCTGTGCCGTGAGACGGCAGGAATGATTGATGTGTCGTGGTCTCTGGAACAGGTCTCATGCCCAGCGGCACTGCCGCTGGTCTTAGTCCCTCATGGTGTGCAGGCATCTTCATGAGCAAGACTGCCAAATTCTTATTCTGCCCAAAGAGTTGGCTGCTTCGATCTGAGCAGTTATAGACTGCTTTGGGCTCCGGAAACCTATTAAGAGCAAGCACGAATGAAAAATAACTCTGAATATGAAATGACCACAATTGTCCACAGGCAGAATGAGACCTTTTTGTGGGGATGGGGGCATTCCACGCAGGGTTTCTCTGTGTAACAGCCCTAGCTGTCCTGGAACTCGCTTGTTTTGTACACCAGGCTGGTCTTGAACTTGCAGAAATCTGCTGGCCTGCAATGCAACCTTATGGACTGTGATGAGCAGTCTCTGGACTCTACCCATGCCAGGAAGCGCAGAACAGACACGTGCCTTCCACCACCATCTTTGGTGTATCTCACCCACTTAGAACAGTAAGTAAATCTTAACTTTCTCCTTTTCAGTCATGACATTTGTCTGTTTTCTTTTACTAGAGGGCCGCAGACTTACACAGCAGTGGGGAATGGCTGTTGGGCTTTCTGGCTCCTGGTGTAAAAGGATGCAAAATTGCTTCTAAAACATTGCAATCAGAATGAGTTCTCAACCAGCCTAGACAGTTTGGAACCACTCTCACTCCAAAATAAGGACCCTGGTTTCTAAGGAGTGGGTGGGTGTCAGAACTGAGAGGCCTGTGTCAAGGGACTTTGTTCCCAGACAGTAGACTGAGAAGCCAGAGACCAAGCCCGGTGGTTGTCAGTAACTAGTGCCCTTGGAAGCAAGGGCGATTGAAGACTAGATCTCAGGTGTGGAGGCTTTGCTGGAAAGGCTTTCACCACCGGCCAGGCTGACCTGAAGCTCGTCCTGCCTCAGCCTCATGAGAACTTATTGTAGTGAGAAGTCACCATGTGGTGCTCTAGGAAATTTTCTATCTTCATAATCAACAAGGACAAACCAACTTCCTTACAACTGTGCCAGACACTAGCTGTACTCCGGTAGTATCACATTTGGTCTCCTGGTGCCAGAACAAAGAACTGGGCCTTGAGAAATTTCTCCTATTATATCTGGAATCCAGCATGACCCGAAACAAGGAAGACTTAATCATTTAGTGTGCCTAATGGCACGGAAAGAAAGGATTCCTCGGGAACGGAAAACTGGACTTAAGCAGATGTTTATTTGAACACAAACATCAAGCCCTACTTTTCACGTTGTCCCCAATTCCACGATGCAACATTTTTACCAGAAGAAGCTCTTTTTAAAAAACAGCCTTCTAGGGAGCAAATAAACAGGGCTATATTTGGCTAACAGCTGCCTCTGAAAAATGAGATGTCAGCAAAGCAAGCTGTTTAAAGAAAATTAATTGCCCAGTTACCTTGGGCTTGGATGGGGTAAATAAGGCCTGTTTCATGGCAGTGTTTTGTCTGGGGTTTTATTGCTGTTAGACATCACTTCCTCCACTATCCATTTGGATCAAAGGGATTTAAAGGATTCTTTGTTTCTGCTGCCAATAGCTAGGCCTTTGTGTTTGCTGAAGCTTTGGGAAGTAATTTCTTTGCTTAGCCACCAACGACTATTTTGTTTAGTGCGAAGCGATGTGTTTAAGGACACATTAAACTCTTGATGACCCAGGAACATAAATGCATATATGTATGCATTTAACTATGCAACTGTCAATGCATAGTTCATCAGCAATGTCTTTTATGTATAGCCTTTGAAACAGTTTTTGGGAATTGATGTTGAGGGTAGTAAGCGTGTGAGCTGTAAATATTCCTGCCCTCTTGCCCTGTGTCACCTTGGCCACCAAAAAGATGCCTGCAGCCCTTGAGCGGAGTGTGCACGACTCATTGAGTGCTCCAATCCCTGCCTCCGCCCCTAGGAAGTCCCTGTGGCAATGACTCTCCTTGTTTGTTTCTCATCATGAGAAAGCGAGATGTTTTTATGTTCTTGAAGCCATCTTATCTAAGAATGCTGTATCTGACCTGTCTGTTTGTAAAGAAGTAGATCCAAGAATCTGGTTCTTGACTCCCAAATCTCTGGATAAACTGCATGACTCACGGAGCTCCATGTAAAATCAGGGCATTCAAGATGGCAGCAGCAGACTGAACCAAGACAAGACTAGGACGTTTAATGCGGGACATTCAGCTGGCTCTGACACCCGGGAAGGTGCAATGAACAGAATTGTGGTCCTGTATAAAAGCAGCTGGGCGGTGATGAGTTCAAGGCCAGCCTGCTCTACAAGAGCTAGTTCCGGGACAGGCTCCAAAGCTACAGAGAAACCCTGTCTTGAAAAACCAAATCAAACAAACAGAAAAGGCAGCAAGAACTTTTAACTGCTGAGTCATCTCTCTAGCCTCCAGATAGTTGTTTTTGTTTTTTTTTAAACTGTAGGTTTAAGAAATGTTTGATCAAGAAGTTTAAGGTCAGGGATTAGCTTTAACTTGCTATTTCTTCTGAATTAAAATACATTATGAAATACATATTGCATAGTTGCTTTTACTCTTACCTTTCTCCTTCAACAATTTTAAAGATTTCTTAAGAAAAAATACCTGCAGTCATTTTCCAGTCCAAAGTAAAAGTTACAGTTGGATATAAACAGAACTTTTCCTGTTTACTGTTTTAAAATCAGAAAGATGCTTATGTGTTTATTTAGGAAAATTTGGAGAAAAGTATAAAGTAATTCTACCACCAAGCCTGTTCATTGATAATTTATAGCAGATTCATTGACGATTATATAACAATGTGTTTTTTTTTTATTTGTTTTTCGAGACAAGGTTTCTCTGTGTAGTCTTTGCTGTCCTAGAACTCACTCTGTAGACCAGGCTAGCCTTGAACTCACAGAGATCTGCCTGCTCTGCCTCCCAAGTGCTGGGATTAAAGGTATTTGCCATCACCACCTGGTGTGAATGTTTTTATAATGAATGTGAATGTCCCAATAAAACACCAAATTACGCACTTCCAGCTGTACATCAGAAAGGCAATACCTTGCTATAAGGTCACAGGTGACTGGAGTTCCTGAGTTCATTGGTGGCAGCAATAGGACATGACAGTTTAACCTCTCCAATTTTTAATTTCCTACCTAAGTATGTAAATATTTTATTTTTAATTATATATGCACATTATGTGTTTGGATTTTAAAAATTACGCGTGTGTGTGTCTCTGTATGGGTAGTGACTGTGAGCACGGCATTCTGAAGGCCATGGGATCCCTGGAGCGAGAGTTACAGGCAGGTGTGTGCCACCTGATGTGAATGCTGGGGCTTGAACTTGGGTCCTCTGCAAGAGCAGTCTGTGCTCCTAACTGCTGAGCCATCTCTCCAGCCCTTGACAGGATCTTACGTTGAAGCCTAGGCTGGCCCAGAATTCAATATGTAATGCAGATGCTGAGATTATAGTGTAAGCCTCAGCCTGGCTCTCTGTTTTATTAGGAATAGAGGTAAATGCCATGTGAGGCATGAATCATTTCTGTTCAAGGTACTTGAATAATTGTGCCCCACTTCATAACAATTTCTTGTACTTGCTCGTGGTTCCACAATTTGCCAAAGTCCCATTTGCTCTCTTGAGTGTCCCTTTGAAGTAAGCTGTAATTTTCTCATCTATGATGGAGATTTTGGGGAAGGGAATTACATAGTGGAGAATATATATATATATATGTATATATGTATATATGTATATATATATTTGCGACTGTCACTCACTCTGTAACCCAGGCTAAGCTTCAGTTTGTGATCCTTCTGCTTCAGCTCTGCCAGTGCTGGGATCACTGGCGTGAGCTGCCACTCCTGGCTAAGAATTACATCTTCATCATGGTTTTCCTGTGGGTTAAAAATGTTTTTATATTTCTAGTCACTCACTCGTCTTTAAACAGGCATCACTGATGGCCCAGCATGTCCCCTGGGAGCACCCTGCGAGCTTTAACAGAAAACAAGATAAATAAACCATTTCATTCCACCCCACACTTTCTTCTTCTGGTTACTCTGGCAACAGACTTCAAGAGCAGCATTGTTAGATAACACACAGTCCACCCTTTCAACCTAGACAGGACTCGGAGACAGCTCCACAGAGGTGTCGTCTGGGTGGAAGCTTCCTGAGAAGTTTCCATCATTCATTGCAGTCAGCCATTTCTCCACAAACAAGGCGTCTGCCCTGGAAGCGGGGCTTAAGCTAGTACCATCCATCAGGGGGTTGAAAGACAACCCAAACGGCACAAGGAGAAGTACCACATTTTCATTTACCATTTTCTGTTACACGTAGACTTAATCTTTCTCTTACTGGGGACGTGTTTAAAGCATGTGAAATATATTGGCACCACAGCGTGAACGTATTTGTCTTATGATGAACACACCTTATGCTGAGTGCCCAATACATTATTGGTGTTCAATATGAGTGTCCAATACATTATTGGAGAGTTCAGGGTTTACCAGCCCCGCCCAGCCTTCACAGAGCAGTTACATAGAACCCTGGCCAACCAAAATGCTACTGAAGTCAATTTGGGCCTGACGGTCGGGTAGAGAGTTGTACATGCTTTCCAATGGTAGCATTTGAGGCATGTCTGCAGACGCTGTCATGTCTGCCCAAAATAGTCTGTCGAGGGTTGGCTAACTGCTGGAAGAAGTGATGGATAATATCTCACATGATAGAAGTGGATTGTTTGTATCTGTCGTCATAGAACAAGGCCGTAAGAAGATGGCTTAGTGACTGCAGATGGTCATTCAGGGACCAAGACTGATGATGCCTATGGCTTCTATAATTGGTCCATACAGAAGGCAACTGAAAACTGGGTGAAGTGGTACAAGCCTGTGACCAAGTGCTCCCAACTGTCCTCCCAGCCGTGTGCATAGGTCTTCCCACATTTTTTTTTTTTTAACAAGAATAATTCTGCTGAACTGGATCTCTTGCTATCTGGAATGACTGCAGAAATTCCTTGGCAGAAGGAATCCTGGCAGCCTGCCTCACGCTGAGGCCAATGGATGGGCTGTGGCCATGCAGGGAGCCTGGCATCTTTTGGATAAAGTAATACATAGGGCATGGCTGAGTTTCCACTTCCAAGCAGCTTAAGAGTGAGTGATGAAGGCAGCTGTGCCCCGTGAAGCTTCTCTTGCATAATCGTCACGTGACTGGGCCTGCTGTTTATAGCTTTCCATTGTGTGGTGCTCTGGCCTGCGACA